CTAGTACGTGTGTACTTCATATGTCTTCATTCTTGTTGTGCAGGTAGCCATCAACTAGTACTTGGGTACTTCATTTGTCTACATTCTTGTTGTGCAGGTAGTCATCAACTAGTACTTGGGTACTTCATTTGTCTTCATTCTTGTTGTGCAGATAGCCATCAACTAGTACTTGGGTACTTCATTTGTCTACATTCTTGTTGTGCAGGTAGTCATCAACTAGTACTTGGATACTTTATTTGTCTACATTCTTGTTGTGCAGATAGCCATCAACTAGTACTTGGATACTTCATTTGTCTACATTCTTGTTGTCCAGATAGTCACCAACAAGTACTTGCGTACTTCACTTGTCTACGTTCTTGTTGTGCAGATAGCCATCAACAAGTACTTGGGTACTTTATTTGTCTACGTTCTTGTTGTGCCTATATCCATCAACAAGTACTTAGGTACTTCATTTGACTACGTTCTTGTTGTGCAGATAGCCATCAGCAAGTACTTGGGTACTTCATTTGTCTACATTCTTGTTGTCCAGATAGTCACCAACAAGTACTTGGGTACTTCACTTTTCTACATTCTTGTCGTGCAGATAGTCATCAGCTAGTACTTGGGTACTTCATTTGTCTACATTCTTGCTGTGCAGATAGCCATCAACAAGTACTTAGGTACTTCATTTGTCTACATTCTTGTTATGCAGATAGTCATCAGCTAGTACTTGGGTACTTCATTTGTCTACCTTCTTGTTGTGCAGGTAGCCATCAACTAGTACTTGGGGACTTCATTTGTCTACATTCTTGTTGTGCAGATAGTCATCAACTAGTACTTGGGTACTTCATTTGTCTACATTCTTGTTGTGCAGGTAGCCATCAACTAGTACTTGGTTACTTGGGTACTTCATTTGTCTTCATTCTTGTTGTGCAGATAGCCATCAACTAGTACTTGGGTACTTCATTTGCCTACATTCTTGTTGTGTAGATAGCCATCAACTAGTACTTGGGTACTTCATTTGTCTATATCGTGTTGTGCAGGTAGTCATCAACTAGTACTTTGGTACTTCATTTGTCTTCATTCTTGTTGTGCAGATGGCCATCAACTAGTACTTGGGTACTTCATTTGTCTTCATTCTTGTTGTGCAGATAGCCATCAACTTGTACTTGGGTACTTCATATGTCTATATCGTGTTGTGCAGGTAGTCATCAACTAGTACTTTGGTACTTCATTTGTCTATATCGTGTTGTGCAGGTAGGCATCAACTAGTACTTTGGTACTTCATTTGTCTTCATTCTTGTTGTGCAGATAGCCATCAACTAGTACTTGTGTACTTCATTTGTCTACATTCTTATTGTCCAGATAGTCACCAACAAGTACTTGGGGACTTCATATGTCTACATTCTTGTTGTGCAGATAGCCATCAACTAGTACGTGTGTACTTCATATGTCTTCATTCTTGTTGTGCAGGTAGCCATCAACTAGTACTTGGGTACTTCATTTGTCTACATTCTTGTTGTGCAGGTAGTCATCAACTAGTACTTGGGTACTTCATTTGTCTTCATTCTTGTTGTGCAGATAGCCATCAACTAGTACTTGGGTACTTCATTTGTCTACATTCTTGTTGTGCAGGTAGTCATCAACTAGTACTTGGATACTTTATTTGTCTACATTCTTGTTGTGCAGATAGCCATCAACTAGTACTTGGATACTTCATTTGTCTACATTCTTGTTGTCCAGATAGTCACCAACAAGTACTTGCGTACTTCACTTGTCTACGTTCTTGTTGTGCAGATAGCCATCAACAAGTACTTGGGTACTTTATTTGTCTACGTTCTTGTTGTGCCTATATCCATCAACAAGTACTTAGGTACTTCATTTGACTACGTTCTTGTTGTGCAGATAGCCATCAGCAAGTACTTGGGTACTTCATTTGTCTACATTCTTGTTGTCCAGATAGTCACCAACAAGTACTTGGGTACTTCACTTTTCTACATTCTTGTCGTGCAGATAGTCATCAGCTAGTACTTGGGTACTTCATTTGTCTACATTCTTGCTGTGCAGATAGCCATCAACAAGTACTTAGGTACTTCATTTGTCTACATTCTTGTTATGCAGATAGTCATCAGCTAGTACTTGGGTACTTCATTTGTCTACCTTCTTGTTGTGCAGGTAGCCATCAACTAGTACTTGGGGACTTCATTTGTCTACATTCTTGTTGTGCAGATAGTCATCAACTAGTACTTGGGTACTTCATTTGTCTACATTCTTGTTGTGCAGGTAGCCATCAACTAGTACTTGGTTACTTCACTTGTCTACATTCTTGTTGTGCAGGTAGCCATCAACTAGTACTTGGATACTTCACTTGTCTACATTCTTGTTGTGCAGATAGTCAACAACTAGTACTTGGGTACTTCATTTGTCAACATTCTTGTTGTGCAGGTAGCCATCAACTTATACTTGGGTACTTCATTTGTCTACATTCTTGTTGTGCAGATAGTCACCAACTAGTACTTGGGTACTTCATTTGTCTACATTCTTGTTGTGCAGATAGTCACCAACTAGTACTGATGTATAGTCTAAGACTTCTTTCTTCTTCACTTCGTCTTCGTGTTCATGATGGCTCCTCTGCCTTAACAATTTCGGCTGACCTGCCCTTCGTTTGGCCTCGTGTGTGAGAGGATTATTGATAATATTTCTGTTTCCTGTATTGACATTATTTCTATTTTAGAACTGAAACGATGTTTGTTTTTCAGAAGATGGGCATACCTGAGACTGAGGCGTGAGAACTATCATTCATTTGAGTAGCTTTATGTGGATTTTGTGTTGAATTTTAAATAGCCGTCTGCCTATTTTGCTTGCGTCACAATTGGCTTGACATTTTGGGGTTATGGGGTTAATTATTTGGCTGTTTATCTCTGGTTTGTCCATCTATGTGAGACATGATCCAACATAGATCCACCTGTGTGCCCTCATCAGATACGTTTGTATATTCGTATAAAATATCAATGACTGTATTTAGTCTACAGTCTGAGTTTCTGCCGCTGATGGCTTGTAGTGCTCTTAGCGAATCTGCTAAAATGACTGCCCTTGCCTCCGGTAGTTCCGGTGTGAGTTTGAGCGCGTGATGAATTGCCTCTCGGTCAGCAGGGAATACTGATCGTATTTGGAGCTAAGTATATGAATCCCGTACCTAGCAGTGTTGTTGGTAGGATCCTTGTCTCCATCAGTGTATATATGGGCCCAACTGTCCCAGGTAGTTTGAATCTTAGTGACTGACGGCTTCTGATTGTAGTAGGGTTGGGTTTTCTTTCTAGTGACTGCAGTGCAAGTAAGATTTAACCCTTTGTAGTGACTTTCTTGTGATGAGTTCACGTACTACAATCACAGACGGCTTATGTGAAAAAAATTTCCGAACAAGAGCTTTATCTTGGGTGTTTTTGTTCTACTATTTCATTTTTACCAAAGGCTTTGCTGTTCGTCCCGAGCACGCTCTTCAGACTGAGTCTGTTTTGTGATAACACTTATGTAACATTGTAATCTTAATCGCTTTCAGGTTTCTAAGTTTGTTACCTCTATGTGTTAAATTTGTTATTGTTTAGTCTTAACATCTTAACCATGTTTTCATTTTGCTCGATACACATAAACACATTACTGTCACAGATTCTAAATGAATGCCTCTCAGAGAAGAAACACTTAAACCCTTATGAGCACGTGTAACTGTTATTACTGCACTGTTTGTAACGTCTTCTCCTATGCTGCCATCTCCTTGGCTGTTCTATTGAAGCAGTAGGATAAATCTCTTTGTTGTTTTAACTAAGTGTAAAAGTTTTGGCGTGCTGAAGTTTTGGTTCACTCTCACTCTGCCTACATCTCAGTCTGCCTACATCTCAGTCTGCTTACACTGTAAATTAAAGTGTAGGCACAATGAGAACACCCTTATTTCAATAAAAAAAGTGTCCAGACTGTTAGACAAACAAAAAGAATGTGTAATATTTAATGTTATTTAATAGCAAAAACTTTGTGTTGAGAAATTGGGCCCAGATCTATCAATAGTTCACATCGTCATCTTAGTTCACAGTTCACATCTTCAGTTTCAACAGGTGATGGCAGCATCTAAGAAGTTCATTGAGGTCATCTGTCCTTGCACAAGCTTCACTTTCAGTGTCTGAAGACGCGAGTCTAAGTCTCTGTATACCCTCCTTCGGGGAGCTTGCTGGCCGCCGTGTTGAAGTTGAGCTCTTCGAATATTGTCAATCTTCTCAAATTCCTTCAATTTTGAAATAAATGCATATTCAAATTTGGATAGGCCTTTCCCATCGCTTGGATCAGTTGGCAGTGCTCCAAGCTGATTGAAGACATTTAACAAACAAAAACTTCTGCTGAGGCCAAAAAAATAATAACTGCGTTTCAGGAGACAATGAGTTGAGAAGACAGGTAAAAAGGAACAGATTTGTTTTCTTTATTAAATTTTATTTTAATTGAATTATATACTTCGCCATCCGGGTTCTAGAATACAAAGTTTTATACTGTTGTAGCCCTGGGTCGTTGCAAACTGTCAACGGTCTTTCAACTCTATGTCCGCATTAACCGAGTGAGTGAGGATTATAGATCTACATTGTTGCAACTATCAACGCTCTTTAATGCTTCATGTCTGCAATTTATGAGTGAGTGAGGGGGGGGGGGATTTTATTGAATTAAACTTGTGATTAAAAGCATGAATAAAATAAATAAATGAAAGCAACACAAACAGTTCATAATAAGAATAAAAACGGCATAACCCTTTTCCATATTCATTGTGATAGTGATGACCAGGTGTTCTCGAGGTGCGTGCGTATCTTACCTCATCGGTGGCACCGAACATATGGTACACTTCAAAACAGGGAGTTTAAGTGGACAAAACCTGGTGTTTCGCCGCGTTAATAGAATATTGGTTGAATGAGTGTAAAACCTTATTCACTCACTGTTTCAGAAGGGCGTTGAGTCATGCTTGTATGTAATTATTTTGTTCTTTTCAGGAAGATGGTTACGTATATTCTCACCATTCATGGTCAGTTGGTCATTGCGTCAGTGCTGGTCTTCCATACAGTCGTTGTTTACACCAGTACAGAGACAGCTGGCTTCATGGGACTACCCGGATGTAGCCTCGGTGTGATATACCCAATCGACCCCATCCACTCAACCACTACACTGAACGCCATCGAGTGCGCAACGATATGTGCACGTACGTACGGATGTTTCTCGGTGAACGCATGCACTAGGGATGACGGTGCTGTGACGTGCGACATCCTGGGAGACGTGTCCGGTTCAGGATGTGGCGGCATGACCTCCAAGAACAGATGCAGACACCTACAACGCAAGGATGCAGTAGCCTTGGTATAGAATCTCATCTCGTAGCTTAATATCATGTCTGTGCAGAGTGACCCATGAAGATTCCGGGGTAGAATAGGTCTTCAGCAACCCATGCTTGCCGTAAAAGGTGACTAACGGGATCGGGTGGTCAGGCTCGCTGACTTGATTGATGCATGTCATCGATCCCAATTGCATGGATCGATGCTCATGATATCAATCACTGGATTGTCTGGTCCAGACTCGATTATTTACAGACCGCCGTCATATAGCTGGAATATTGCTGAGTGCGGCGTTAAACAACAAACCAACCAACCAACTGTGCAGAGTGGCTTCCGTTAGGCGCAGGTCGTTGTTGTCGAGCGAGTCGTATTTAACGCCGCTTTTAACATTATTTTATTTGTATCACATCTAGTCAACTGAATGTGTCATGGAATTCTAAGTAATGCAGGTATCACTACTGTGATGAAACGGGCATGGTGACCAAAGAAACTGTCAGGGCGAATGAGACATTTGAACAAACCGCCCAAGAGACGCAACTGTGAACAGCAAATTGCCTCAGGCGTTTTGGTGGCACTGTTATGTCCCAATTTGCCTATTTTCCCACTTCTGTTTTGACCATTGTCCTTCTTCAATGAAGTACCACACGCAATATTTCTCCCTCCAATCTTTTTAAGTTAACCATGGGCGTGTGTTGATGACCGGCCGATGGAAATTCCGGGTAGGAATATAGGTCCCCAACAACCCCTGCTTGTCATACGAGGTGACTAAATGGATCGGGCGGTCAGTCTGGGTGATTTGGTCCATTGCATGTCATCGTGTCCCAATTGCGAGGATCGATGCTCACGACGCCCACCACTGGATTGTCTTGTCCAGACTTGATTGTTTACAGACCGCTGAAATTTAGCTGGAAAATTGCTGAGTAAGGCGTTGAACAACCAACAAACAAGTAATCTAGTGGCCTTCTGTGTTGTAACAGCTGTCGACTGTCAGATATTGCGTGTTTCCCAACATGAGTAAGACCGCCTCCGTGGTCTAGTGGTAGAGCGTCCGCCCGGAGAGCGGAAGGTCCGGAGTTCGATCCCCGGCCGCGTCAAAAGACGTTAAAATATGGTACTTGTTGTTACCCTGTCTGGCGCTCGGCATTAAGAGGCTAAAACAAGGACTGGGCGACTCCGGAGTCAGTATAATGTGTCTGAGTGGGGTATTCATGTTAAACTGCGGCATGGTACCTCAGTGAGCTAGCACTATAAATCGGCATCAGTCCGGACTAGTACAAGCACACACACGTGCATGCACATCGCTATATAAGTGCAATAATCTTGGACGCGACGTTTAACCTAATTTCACCTCATCTCAACATGTGTATTTATATTCTTCACACCTTCATCTTCAGAGAGCCTCGAATCCATGTAAAAATGGCGGAACGTGGACTGGAAGCATCTGTATTTGTATTGCCGGATATGCCGGGCAGTACTGCGGAAGATATATTCACAGTAAGTCGTGGACTAAGTAGTATTCGTAGTTATGTAATTAGCCATGGAGAACTATTCAGCAGAAACAACCAGACGAGTAAAAGGTCAGTCAAGGGTAGGACGGTGTTATGGGAAATAGACAGAATGCGCATTACACAACATTCATTAAACGTAAACGTGTATACAGTAAACTACGTTTATAACGAACACGCTTATAACGAACAGACGGATATAACGAACTGGGTTTTTTGTCCCGGCCACTTTCTGTATTGATGCTATAAGTTTAAAGTATATATATAAATATTTCGTAAGTGGATTGAGACCGCCTCCGTTGTCTAGTGGTAGAGCGTCCGCCCGGAGAGCGGAAGGTCCGGAGTTCGATCCCCGGCCGCGTCATACCAAAAGACGTTAAAAGATGGTCCTTGTTGTTACCCTGTCTGGCGCTCGGCATTAAGGGGCTAAAACAAGGACTGGTCGGCTCGGAGTCAGTATACTGTGTCTGAGTGGGGTATTCATGTTAAACTGCGGCATATCTCAGTGAGCTAGCACTATAAATCGGCATCAGTCCGGACTAGTACAAGCAGCCGTACAAACACACACACACGTACATGCACGTCGCTATATAAGTGCAATAATCTTCGACGCGACGTTAAACCCCACCGTAAGTGGATTGTAGCTCAGAATGAGCTTTCCTTTTCGCGAACACCTGATATCTTCACTATGTGGTAGTGATACAGAAACACATGCTTTATGAAACAGTCGGATTCGTACACTGTACACTGCGTTTAGTAAAGATTTCTTACGATTGTGGAAATGTTGTTTTTTTAACCGTAGTCAGTAATATCAGGGGTATAGTAAAACATTGAATGTCGGGAGGACATACGTGTCCCGTATCTTCAAACCTCACTTTGAGGTTGAATGAAAACTATGTCCCGCACAATAAAACAAATCCACAACTTGAAATTCACTGCTCCGAGATATTATTCACAGCATTTTAGACAAAGCGGAAATACTGTAAATCAGGTACATCGTCAATATCGCTATTTTCCCGATCGGTATGTATTGAAATATGAATACCGGAGGGTTCACATTAGTGATTCTGAGTGCATTATCCTAATCAGTATGAAACGTTGCGAATAATCTTGGAATCGTTAAGTGTGTTTCACAAATTGCTTAAGCTTGAACAAAGTTAACAATCCCCCATAATGGTAGGGTGTGTGAGATAACATTTTATAATCTTCCGCGATACATATGTCTCTGAATTCCTCATAAATGTAAGACATACAAACTGATAGTATAGACAGTAATACTTTCTCAACACTAATATTTGTAACTTATGTAATAATGGTTACACATTGCAAAGATAAATACACAGTCTGATGTGTCGAACTTTGATGTGTCGAACTTTGAAGTGTCGAACTTACGGTCGTCTGTGCTTGTACCGGTGTCATGACTTGGGCAGGATACGCTCACCTTTTCGCGCACCTAGTATCATCACTATTTGATAGTGATTCATAAACACATGCTTTTGATCATGTTGAAATCGAACAACGGACAAATGTTTTTCTCGCTTTTATTTGCACAAAAACACAATATATTAATGTTAATAAAACATCATATATCAATATTCCAGGCTGCAGAGAGGCAAAGGAGCTCGGAGTGACGGGCACTGGGTTTTATAAAGTTCAGCCTGCAGCCTCTCCTGTTGCCTACACCGTGTACTGCAACTGTAACGCGGGGACGGTGTGGGTGTTCCGGAGGAAGAACCCCGTCCCCTCCTGGTGCCCCGGCATCAGCTACAACAGGACGTGGGCGGAGTACAAACACGGCTTCGGCGACGTCGACTGCGAGTATTTCCTCGGACTGGAGACCATCTACCGCCTCTGCTTCTACAACCAATACCAGTGGAACATCTACAACGAGGTACAAGGCCCTCCTCCTGTTGCCAGTGTATACATGGAAAGTGCCACCTTGTCACCGGAGTCTACTAACTATCAACTGGATATGATCCGCATTTTCTCCAATCCTTGGGAGCTGGGGGATGACGCTTTTGATGACAATGACAAGCCCCGGAGGTTCTGTACGTGGGACCGGGACTGTTGGGGGTGTGCCAAGACGGTAGGAGGGGGGTGGTGGTTCAAGTCCAACTGTCAGGGAGGAGCCTTGACTGTTTCTCAGGACCAGTTGAAGTGGCCTGTCTCTGGTGTGGACGAGGTCATAGACGAGGCGTTTCTGCAGCTTGATCAAATGGACTATGTTCCATAATATATTAAAGTCAAATAACCAACTAATACTAGTGTACGACATCCCGCGCTATTATTATATGGATCTGTGTAGTGAAACGTCCCTTAATCGTGGCAGATTCGCTGAGTTCGAATTCCAAATTGATGTTTCTAATCCTTGGTTGTCATCTTCCAACCAACCAGGGGGGCACGGGTGGCCCAGTCGTCTAAGGCGCAGCGATTCGCTGTGCAGAGTTGTATCGCTTGGGCACGCCAGAAACCTAGGATTGAGGGTTCGAATCCCGGTTCGCCCCGATTATGTTTCTAGGTTTGTCAGCACCATACCGGTGGTCGTGGGTTTGACCGAAATGGTAAACGTCTGAGATCTGCATCACTTCGGGCCTTCCTCCCACATTAAGCTGACACGCCGTGATATAACTGGAATACTGTTAAAAGCGGCGTTAAACCCAACTCACTCACTCCAACCAACCCGACCATATCTTCAGAAAGGTGGACAAGATGTTACTACATTGCTGTGTGACTGTGAGTATGGTGAGTTAGGACAATGTAGTAAGACGGAAATGTTTCGTTTTGAGTCCCTTATCTGATTTTCTACCGAGAAAGTATAACAAGCCGTGTTTTATTTCCACAAACTCTAGCTGGGGTCGGGTAGCCTAGTGGTAAAGGCGTTAGCGCTGAAGATACAGGTTCGATTCCCGACATGGGTACAATGTGTGAAGCCCATTTCTGGTGTCCCCCGCCGTGAACTTGCTTGAATATTGCTAAAAGCGGCGTAAAACCATATTCACTCACTCACTCTAAAATCTCTAAGATAACTCAGAGCGGCATTATATCCAACTCTGTTGATCATATATCAATATCAACTAGTGAAGATCAGGGCAGGAATTGATCTTCAGCAACCCAGACTTGTCGTTAAAGGCGACTAACGGGATCGGGTGGTCAGGTTCGCTGACCTTGGTGATGCATGTCATCGTATTGCGTAGATCGATGCTCATGATGCCAAGTACAGGATTGTCTGGTCAAGACTCGTGTGTTTACAAACCGCCTTCATACAGCTGGAATATTGCAGAGTGCGGCGTTAAACAACAAACATACACACATGCAAACATTTTATGAATATCACAATCCCACTGGATGTAAGACGTAAGGAATTCAAGTACATGTTAGAGTATTTGTCCTTATTTCACTTTCCGGTGGGGATTATAGGTTAAAAACCGATTCTTGACATAAGGATCGACGTATATGGATTTGAATCGCCAGGTGACTTTGTTAATTAGGTTCTGATCGGTGACAATGTGCGACGTTGCTCATACCATCAACCACTGGTTTGTCGGGCTAATAATCGATTATTTACATGGAGCACTGATATAGTTGGAATAATGCTGACCGTGGCATAAAAAAACATTCACTCACTCACCTTTTTCAACATGCTGTCCTTTAAACATATTGGGTATATCGACAACTAATGTTGCAAACTAATTCTTGAGAAACATTATAAGAACTTATAAATTCAAAATGTCAACGCCAAAGAACTATCAGTTTCGATTATCCGGCGAAACAGATTCCATTAAGCATAAAAGGCAAAATAGTGATGAAAATGATTTGAATAGAAAAATTTATGGATTATGGAATGGATAAACATATATCTATCTTGTCATCTGACAAAGAGTGTACGTTTTGCAAAACGAATGGAAGACTCTGCAATATATATCAACTATCATCTTGGTTTGGTAATTAGATGTACGTTTTCACAACACTTGTCATTACCACGCTGGCACAAACATTTATATATATTCTTCTCGCTGTTTGCATCTCGCGCTATTGTCCGCACCAACACGAGAGTAGCAATAAAAAAGTTGTCATCCATGCACTATTCTTGTTGTTACCTTACACACAGATACGAACACACACATACACAAACACAATATGCAACTTTAAAGACATATAAAGACATATAAAGACAAAGACATACAGTAAACTACGGTTATGACGAACTCGAGGGGACCACTAGTTTTAGTACGTAACAACCGTAGTTCGTTATAAGCATACGTAGTTCCTCATACAGCATGTACACAACAAATGGTCGGGACTAAAACAAAGTTCGTTATATCGGTCACTTCGTTATAAGCGTGTTCGTTATAAACGTAGTTTACAGTACTGAACAAAAAATGATAAATATTTTTAGTTTTATGAGATAGTGTATTCAGTCTTCCCCACAAAATTTCCCTGATCCCTAACTTCATTCGTTCAGTATACACAATACTGACGATAAAACTCAAACAAAACACTTGTCTCCTTCTCTGTAAAGTTATAAAAATGTTTCATATCGAAAACGCATTGTAGCGTTCAATACGATATGTATTGATTATAGGAAAATCCTTCATATTGTTTCGAACTGAATGTATTCGACCCAATGCATTGCCTAGGGTTATGTCATACATCGACATATCGATCAGTCGATAGACTCCATCTTTCAGTGGCACCTGGAGACTGATATACAGCTGACAATACAGTATGGGGAATCAATTCAAAGTTTTTATTTAATAGATAAACGACGAGGGGGCGTTGTTTATCGTATTCTCCCTGCAGTGTTTTATGGTAGATTAACAACGACCACGAGTCTATTATTTCTTATGCCTCTTTAAGCATGTTAAAAACATATACAAGCTTTACAAACATTTACTCTATTTAAAAAATGACGACAACCTGAATACAATCCGATCTCAGCAATGTCGGATAAGTCCATTTAATAAACATGGGGGTAAGTTTTTTATTTCCTGAATATTGTCTCAATTCTCACGACTATTATCTGTAACTGTTCTCGGATCACATATTGTTATCTCTCGCAAACGTTTTGAAAAGATTATGCGTTTTTTCTGTGTTGCCCAGCTACATCTTAGGGGGACAACTCACTTCCCTCTAAAAATAGCGTTGTCCAATTTACGACGTCATCAAGTTGCGATGTATGTTCGAATCTCCAGAAATGATGTCATAATAGGACAATGTTTTATCGTGAAATAAACGGCGCCTCGTTCGTCCTTGTTCGTTGCGATTCATCGCGTAGCTATCTAATATTATGTATTCAGTGTATATCTTAAAATATACTGAACCGCAAAAGAAACGTCACCCCAAGTAACATTGCATGAAAAGTTGTCATTTAAATATCTGGGTATTTTTTGTCAAAGATTCTAAAATTTAACATTACCATGTCCGGGAAAATGAAATATTATAGTAAAAAAAACAAAGCAGATTGACAGGAAATCAGCGACATCAAGCCCTTGCAAGCTGGACAAACCGCCCGGCAAGTAGCCAATGCATTTTAAGTCCACGTAAGGACCATATACAGGCTCCAGCAACGGTACCAGACCACCAACACTATAGATGACCGACCACGTAGTGGAAGACCAAGGGTCACCACCAGACGTCAGGGTCGTCAGATTGTGCGACAGCATCTTCAAGATCGCTTTGTTACTGCTGCGGAAACTGCTCGACAGATCTTGGGGACACTCCAGCGACACATTAGTGCGTACACCGTGCGTCGACGATTGACGAGCACACACCTCCACTGTCACAGGCCACACCGAGGACCCATTCTGACACCAAGTCATTGCCGGGACCGTCTTCAGTGGGTAACATAGCACCAGCATTGGCGCCACGAGCAGTGGAGAAGAGTCCTCTCAGACGAAAGCCGTTACTGTATCTCAACAGCAGATGGCAGAGAGAGAGAGTCTGGCGACGCCGTGGGGGACGTTATTCGGATGCTTGTGTTGTTTAGAGAGACTCGTGGGGTGGTCCGAGCATCATGGTGAGGGGTGGAATTGGTCTTGCACAGAGGGTCGGCCCTGTGGACTTCCAGAACATCGGTCCAGGGAGAGGCAATGGTGTCACAGCTGCACGGTACATTGATCATGTCTTGAGACCACACGCCATGCCTCATTTGGCACGTCGCCGCAACCACGAGTTTCAGCATGATAACGCCCGTGCCCACTCTGCGAGAGCAACAAGAGTATACTCCAGCAGAATGGCATCAGAACCTGCAGTGACCCTTATTCCTGATTTAAATCCCATTGACCACCTGTGGGACGAGACGAGATTCAAAGACGTCTGAATGACGTCCGACCAAGGCCGACAACTGCAGCTGAACTGCGTCAGGCGTTCCTCAGAGTGTGGGCTCAAGTGCCTATGGCCTTCATCAACCGACTCATCCATTCCATGAATCGGCGTTGCACGGCAGTCATCAATGCACATGGCGGACACACGAGATACTGACTTGTCATGCCATTTTCTCAGAGGCTAGTGTTGTGTTTCACTCTAAGAACATTTGACACTTTAATTTCAACCTTGATGATCAGTTTTGCCAAGCGTCATCTTTTTAATATGTCTCAAAGTATGTTTACAGTGTTTGGACAAATAAGGTTTCTCATATATCTATCAATGGTGACGTCTCTTTTGCGGTTCAGTATATAAGATCGATATTTCACTCGATTGAAATAATATGTGCGGTGAAATAACACTTAATCCCGGCTCTACTTTCAGTCTACCTGATTTACACTGAGGTGTATAGACTTTGAAAACACATCAAGATTATAACACTGAGGTATGTGACAACGACAACAACACAGGGGGTTTTAGAAGCCGCCTACCAGCTGTGCCTGTTCCTGATTGATATAAACTACCAGGCAAAAGAAAGAATACACCCATGTTCGTTGATGGCAACAAATGAAACAAACAAGAAATGTTACTTAAAACAGGAATCATGGGCGATGTAACCTGCATCATATCAATGAGCATTAGGTGAAGTGTATGACGTCTCAAGAAATAGGGGAGTCGCAATTTCACATAAATGAGTGAGTGGGTATAGTTTTACGCTGCTTTTAGAAATAATCCAGCAATATCACGGCGTGGACACCAGAAATGGACTTCACACATTGTGCCCATGTCGGGAATCGAACACGGGTCTTCGGCGTGAGGAAAGAACGCTTTAACCACTGGTCTACCGACAGCCCCTCACATAAATGAGCAGAGTGAAGCAGGTTTTGTCACGATCAGTTTGCGTTGGATCAGCAATGTTATGCTGCCTCTAAACGTCTGTTACAGCACGTGCAAAACGTGGGCGTGCATTATCCTGCTGCAATATGACGGTACGTCCCTGAATTTGCACAAAGAAGAAAACATGACCTCGAACGATGTCGTCCCGGGAGCGTACGCCATTCAAATTGCTGTTAACAACGATGAGTTGTGTTCTCCCACGAGTTGTGATGACACCC